CGGGCCGCCCGGCTGGCATCCCGGACCGTGCTCCCTAGGACTGTTTTTCCTGCCCACCCCTTTCCCTTAGCATGTACAGCTGCGAGGTGCCGAGAGAAGAACGAGGCTTCTTCCATCTGGCGAGTGCTGCGTCATGAGTTACAGGCGGGGGATGCTGGGTCGTTGCCAGACTTGGTAGCCGGTTCCTTCAGCGCATCGCGCTTGGGTTTTGGGTTCACAGCTTTGTCATCCCCGGTGGGAAGGTAACGGGAGGGAGAGGAGCTGTTGTTACGATGTTGGGTAAAAGTCACAGCGATGTTTTGCGTTAGGGATGCTCGCGGGTCTGCGGGATGACGCTGGTGCTGCGCCAGCATATGTGCGATACGAAGTGCCAGGTGGTATAATGGGCTGGAGGCAGAGGTGGATTGAGGCATGTTATTTACTCCAAAACCACCTAGCTGATGAGGAAAGGGAAAGATTGTAACTACTCTTGAGTGTTAGAGGTCTTAAAATGCTTCGTTTCTTTTTCAGGGTAAGGCTTTCTTTGATGTTCTTAAAAACCAAACATACTACCTTTCACATGCATAATATTGTTCTCAGACCAAAATGTCTTTCCTGCTAGGTAAGGCCGCAGTGGAGCATGTTTCTAAAAACTGCAGAAATGCACTAAATAAAACCTGCTGTGTAACCTAATACATTCATAAAATGGAAGTGCTTCCCAGCTGTACTGCTATATTGTTGAAACTCAGTGCTTGCCTTTTATGTAACTCTATATCAATACAGTCATCAGCTTTTAAAAATATGTTCCCTGTAATTGGATCCTGGGCAGTACACAATCGGTTCCTCTGCTTTTATGTTTTCAGAGATGCAGGAGATCAATTTGGTTCTAGGCTCTTGAAACATCTTGTGGTTGTGATGCATTAAACCAAGCAACACTTTTCTAAGTGGTGTTTCTGCTCTTTGCTAAGTTAGGAGACAATAGGTCAAAACCTCTGGAGAAACTTAGGTTTTGTTTTCTAGAAGGTAGTTTTTGGTGAAAAGATTAGTTTAAAGGTATTTTTTCATTAAAATCTGTTAAGTGAAAAGCCACTAAGCTTCAGAACATTAAAACAATTGTGTAGGATTTACATTTATATAATATTTTGTGGCTGACTTAGGTCACTTTTAAAATGATTTAATTACTTTCTAAAATACTATTCAAATTTTTAAATTTGTTTTAAAAGTGGTTTGGGATTATATTTTAAATCTTGCATTATGCAGTCATGGTGAATAAATTGATAATACAAGCTCTTATGACTGTAGAAGCAAGACAGTAGCAAATCAAATGAATAATGAGGTTTCTCTTCCAATTTTTTCCTTTCAAATCTGAAAATGTGTTTGTGTTGTTGGTTTCTTAATCTTTTTGCAGAGTGTCTACCCTTTTTCAGGTTGGAAAGTGGTTTTAAGTGTGTCTTAATGTGAAAAGTTCCCTCCCAGATGTTAGTACTGTGGGGTGTTTTGGGTTTTAGACTTTATGTAATTTTTATTTTTTTTAAATAATGCAAGCATCATCTTTCACTACAAGTTTTACTTAAACAAAAAGAATATGCTGAATAGCAATGCCAGTTCTGTCTTTTTCCAGGTCATGCTCAGGTAATGCTTTAGCTGCCTTTTTAATGCTGAAGTATTTATAGGAGAAAATTACGATTCAGTGAAAATCTAATTTAAAACACGTGTGATGTGCTGCATGCCAGTGGCTCTTGGCAGCCTGCCGACAGGTAGCAGCTTGTGGAGCATCCTGCTGACAACACACCTGGGCTCAATCCCACCCCCCCAGCCCTTCCCTCCCAGGTCCAGAGATGGTATGTAGTTGCTTTCCCACATTTTGCTCTGCCTGCATTTGTTTTTGCAGCTCTGGATTGTGTACTGCAGTCAGGCTGCTGCTGAGTGCTGTCCCTCATGCTTATGAAGCACAGAAACCCAAAGCATGAAAAACACTATCCAGAGTGGTTTGTTTATTCCTCCCTCATCTTTGGTCTGTCCCTCTTGGAAAGACAGCTGAAGAGCTAGCAGTAGTGAATTTGCTTCCTAGTACAGGACAGAAAACAGTTTTCAGCTGTTTTCATCAGCCCCACACACCCTCAAATGCCTTTTACTGCAAAAGCTGTGGCTTCTGGAAGAGGTCAGGAGCCATAAATGGAATGTATTGTGCAGTGTGTTAGTTTGGTGTTTACACAGGTGTTTCAACAATGGACCCAGGCCTGAAATGTCCAAGAAGGTTACTGAAAGAGAAAAAGCAGATTACTTTCCCCCTGTTAACTTACTTTCTTATGTTGTGAAGTAGGTCACTGTATCATTTTTCCATTGTTAGTGACTGAATTGTTTAAAGTGAAAACCAGTGAATGGTTTGGAAGGAACCTTAAAGGTCATCTGGTTCCAGCCCCTCTGCCATGTGTAGGGACAAAGTACTGGGTCAGGCTTCTATTTGCAGCAAAGACTCTTGTTAAGGAGTGGGAGTGGGCTACATCTGTGTTCTGCAGGGGAGATCACCTCCTGTCCTTAGAGCTGTTTTAAATGGCAAACAGGCTAGTGGGTGGGTGATGTGATTTTTTTTTTGGGGGGGGGGTTTCAGTTCTGAGTTACCTTGGACATGGTAGTTACTGTTCATCTCCATGCTCACCTGAAGAAAAATGTATTAGAAACAAAACAAACCTAGACAAGGATGCCCAGCTCAGGTTTCAGTGTGCTCACACAGGAAACCAGGACAAGTTTGTGGATGTGCAGGTATCTGCCTGTCAGGCCTTGTATAATTCTGCTGTTTATTTTCTTTTGTTTGTGTCGTTGGCAGTATTGTCAGTGTGTGCCGTGTAGCAGGTGTGAATTTCAGTGGAGAAGTGCTGGAGGCTGCAGACACTGGGTTAGACCTAGCAGGTGGTGTGTGCCTGGCCGTTGGTGTGAAGTGGTACAGCTGCAGCTGAACTTGTGCGTGCTCTTACATCACTGTGGTGCTGGCCTTGGCACAAACCCAGTGCCAGGGAGAAGGCAACTTCCTAGGTAATGCCTGGTACAGCTTCAGGCAAGCACAGCTGTTTCCTACCTCATTCCCCCTTGTTCACCTCCAGTTTTGCTTTGTTTAAGTCTTTAGCAGTTTTATATGTGGAGGAGTTTAGAAATGCAAAGTCTTGCCATAAATCCAAGCCTGTGGCACGTCACAAAAGGGACCCACCTGAGGCTCTTAACATAGGCAGAATTAAGTAGTAATTTTCTGGCTGTTTCCCAGTAAGTCAGACAATCTCTGTTCTCATTGCCTAAAGTTCTGCAAGTGCTTTGTGATGGAACGGAATAATTAATTTGAAGTTTATTTGCTTTGCAGGCCTTTGTAGTTGCAGTAGACCAGTATTGAAAAAGTTTACCACGGATGATAAAAGCAACTTTTTAGGCTTCTAGCAGGCTTTAACTGTGCAAGGCAACAATCAGGCTAGTGGATGGAAAAAGTGAGTGTTGTCAGTATGTAACATTGCCAGTATTTTCACTGCTTCTCTAAACTTTCCAGAGCTAGCCTGTTGAAATGTAGCTCCACCCATTGCTCGTGGTGGTTAACTGCCTCAGAAAAATTAGAAACTGTGAGCAGGAAGGGAGCCTTTGATGACTAAGAAATGCGTGTGAAGGATTGGAAATTTCAGAAGTGCTGTCATGCTTGGTTTAAAAACTGCAAAGATGAAAATAGCTTTGGGCAGTAAAAAGTCTGAACTTAATACTAGTGTCTTTAAGGAAGAAAACAGGCCATGCATCTCTCTGCTTTGGCTAATTTTTTGTGGTTACTTCGCTTTAGCTGTTTTTACTATTTAAGTGTTGCTCATGGCATTTTGCAAACAGGAAGCAATCTAAATTGATTGTAGGGAAGTATAAACACTCAATTCAGGTGTTGATTTGAATATTGTCATGGTGTCTTGAGTCTGTCTGCTAATTCCTTTGCCTCTTCTGTTCCTTAGGAACACTACTTTTCTTCAGTCACAGTTATTTAGAAAATGTAAAATCATTCTTGCATTTGTTGAGAGCTAGGGCAGCAAATATGTTCTCTAACAAATTTTAAGGTGAACACTTACTTTTTTTTCCTTCCTGAAAAATGAGGCATGAAGTGCTAAGGTTCAGAAGCAATGCTCTACTGCTGCTTCATAAGTGATTTCAGAGAGCTGGTGTATCTAACCAGATGCACAAGGCCCAGCATAGATATCAGCAGAAAATTTCCAAATCTGTCTGCACATGTGCTGTTTTATTCCCCAGCTGATACTCATTTCATTCGGCTACAGACACTAAAAAGTGTATTTTGACTTTTTTTGTGTATGTTCTGCCAAATCAGTTTATCCAAGCACTCGCTTTTTGCCTCTGAGGTTTCAGAGGGCCATGCTTAAAATAAAAGTTGTCTTAGCTGTTGGTTGAACAAATTCTATGCTTTCCTGTCTAGGGATAGCAAGTGGTTAGGTGCAGAGAGTCTGTTATGATAAGTGTAGGAAAACATGAACTTCTATTCCATATCTTAAATTTAGGTTAAAAATATAAAGATGTATGTTATACAGATGGGAACACTCTGAATTGAGGCACTGATGCATACTGATCCCAGCAAAAGAGTTTGCATGTGTATGGGATTGTGTTTTGAGGAAGCTGGTTTTGTCCTGAGTCAGAACTGGGGAACTGACTCATTGTGTGGCCCTACAAGGGCCAATAATGAGCAGAGGGCAGTGAAATCAGAGGATTGATGCTGTTTGTTTGTTTTGGTTGGTTGGGTTTTTTTCCCTCAGAAATCTATCTTTGTGCTGAGCTAACATGCAGACTGTAGGACTCACTTCAGTGGTGGGCAAAATGGCATGTGCTCCTTTTGCTGCCTGAGTCTCCATTTCCTTTTAAGAAACACAGGTAGAACCCTTTGTCCTACTGTCAGGTAGTTTGTTGGTGTCTTCTAATAATACTTGTTCATGCATGGGTGGTGAAGCTGTCCTTCATGAATTTGTCTGCTGTCATCTTCTAGATACACAAAATTTTGAGAGAATGGAATTGGTAGACTTGGACTGCAGCAGTTTTGTAAATGCTGGCAGGAAGATCTCTTCCAATGTCTGCAAATGCACGACTGCTGTGGCAGTCAGTAAGGAGGAAGAAAGATGAAAGACAGGAGGCTTTTAGGTGATGGTTGAAAATGTAGAAGCCAAAATTATGAAACAAATCTAAATATACAGGTAATTGTTTCACAGAAAGGATGCAAGATATTACAGAGGCAGCCTGACAAAATGAGTCTGAAATAAATATGACAGGGAGGCATCAAGGTGAGGATGTCTGTGGTGCAATGGAGTGATGACCCCATAGGGGTACCTGGGCAGATAGCTAGAAGTAAATTATTTTACAACCTGCTGTAAATAGTTGGGGCAGACCAACTCTAGAAGGATAGGTAATTTCAGGGTTTATTCAAGTTAAATGGAGAAAACCAGTTATGTTTAGCTAAGGGAGTGACAAATATGCCTGCCTATTCATTTAGTATAGCACTTAGGAGAAAACTGAAGGAACGATGCATGAAATGGTCCAGTCTTTCCTAACTACAACAGGAGCACTGGATTTAAGGGAGATTGATCTTTTGTCTTAACCTTGTCTTTATTTATACAAGCGTTGTCAGGTATGCCTTGAAAATTGAAGGGAGAAAAGCAATCATTTCATATGAGACTGCAACAATAAAATTTGGAATTTCTATATTTGTCTTCAACATCTGGACTCAGCTCAATGAAAGCCTCACCCCAAACTCATAACTTAGCCTGGGTGTACTATATGTGTGAATTATCTGTAACAATGGTTTGTTATGCCAGAGCTAACAGTCTGCTCCTGGAAAAATGCTGGTTTGTTGTTGAAATGAGTTAGATGCTTTAAGTGAAAGAATTCAACTTGGCAACTTAGAAAAATTAGACCAGTGTCTGTAACTATCAGGTAATAGGATAAAGTAACCACACTTGGTCTAGTGTTTAGTCTGATTCTAGGATGCACACAGTCAAAACTGAGCTGATACTCTGACACTGTAGCTACATTTGTAAAAATATGACAGTATCACTTTCTTTTTAAATTTGAAGCTATAGGCTTTGTGTGGTCCTTCATTTGTTATGAAATCTGAATGTTACGTGCTAATGAGAATGTCCTATTTGCTCTTGCACCATATAAATAACTGTTTCAAGAAGGTGATCCTAAAGTTGGGTGTACTATCAGTGCCTCTTGGTCTGTATATTTTCACTTATTGTTGGAGATTGAATTTTGTATATCTGGCTGATTGATTCATGACTTAACATGGAGAAGAGTAATATGTTTTTGGCTTGAAATAATATTTATGATGTCTCTTCTAAGGTTAATTGTACACAGCTTTACACCAGGATAATACCTGCAGAACAACTTAAAAGACCAAGTTTAATTATGGTGTGACTCTCATGTTGCAAATACATAGTTATAAATGGGTAAAAAAAGTTATCTGTTCAGATGTTCTGTGTAGCTTACTGTGCTTGTTCTGGGACAAGTACTGTTTTTTGTGACTTACTATTGAAATAGTCTGTAAGCAGCAAAGGATGGAGATAAATTTTGCCCTTTTATTTAACAGGGATGTGTTAGACTGGATGTCCACTGACAGTCTCATCTGAGGAATATATTCCCCATTCAGAAGCAGAATATTTATAAAATACTTTCCTTTTCTTGACTGCAGTTAAAACTTTCACTCACTGACGGCCCTGCTAGATCCCGCTCTTTCCCCTTCCCTCCCTGACTGGGACTGGAGTCGTGGCTAACAGGTGAAGTTTGAGCCTGGCATTCAGAGCTGACGTGGCTGTTCCCTTGGTGGGTGTGGTAGGGATCTGCCACCTGAGCTTGCCTGGTGGTGCCTGCCTAGATCAGACCATCATAGGAGAAGGAGGAGTGTGCCGTTCTTTATAGTGTGTAAGAAAACATCCACGTGTGCATTTAATGCTTGCTGCCTATCAGCTGGCTAAATCAGATGGGGTTTTGACTACTTGCAGTACTGCTGCTTGTGACTCTGACAATAAAAGTGTGCTGTTCATGTAGTCATTTCAAGACACTGCCTTAAGGAACTACAGCAGCAGATGGTGAATGTTCAAAGGGAGCACACCAAAGGCACTGCATTTAAGAGCTCTCAAAGGCCATTTGTTTCCACAGGAAAGAAGATAATAGAGCATGGCCCAGTAACACAGTTATATGCCATCTGCTCTTTGCCACGAAATTTGAGAGACTAAGCATTTTAAAATTTTTTAAAATGAAAGCTGATTTTCCTGATTACTGAGATGTCTTTTAATAATGTTAAAAAATCAAGCTATGCTCTCTTATATCCATGTATGGCTTCAGATGGTGACTGGAAAATAGTAAGATTGTTGGCAGTTTCCCTGCAAAATGTTTTCTCACAATACCGAGCTAGTGTGCTTACTGTGATAAGATCAACCTTTCCCTGTATGCCTCTGAAGGAGAAGCTGTCAGCAGAACTAATGAAATTCACACAGTGAACCTCTACAGCAAGTTTTCCTTATCACCGAGAAACTTTGCAATTAGTTCCTTTCTCTGCTCCATTTAGCCACCTAACATCCCTACTAGTCCTTGTACTTTTTCTTTCCCTCCAGAGGAACAGTTTCACACCTTGAAAATAGATCAGTTGCCCTTTTCCTTAGCTCTAGTGGTGTTCAGCATTTTTTTGTATGCCCTTTTGTCTGGTGTTGCTGGAATACTTCAGAGTTGTGGGCATAGAAAAAATGTGGTTTATAGTGGGAGCAGGAACAGCTGAAGCTGGCAGTGCCTATGAGCAGACTGCTTGGACTACTGTTGCCTAACACTGTTAGGAACAGCAGTAAGCAGACCTGCTGCTGTCTGCCTGTATAAAACCTGTTCTTCCAGTCGTGCTGATGCTGTACGGTGGTAAGAGTGCCTTATTGTGCACGGGGGGTATGGCAAGGGCTGCAGCTTTTCACATTGCAGGACACTGCTGGTCAGACACAAACTCTGGTAGAAATAATGCATAAATTAAGTATTGGATCCTTGTATTGCATTTCAGAGTAATTCAATCCACTAGCTGTATGTCAGTTCTGTCTGCATGTGGTGAGTTTGCTAGTGCTTTTGCTAAAACATAAGGCAAGTCTCTCTCCCCTCCCTTGTTATTTGCAGAACTAGGAAGTGGTGGAATCCAACGGGTTTCTCAATTCACAAACCAGGAGATTTACTCACAGCCAGTTCTCTGGGTTTTGTTCTGTAAACTTCCCTAACTCTCAAACTTTTTAGGGATCTAATAGAGAACTTTGCACCTCATATATTCCACAGGTGTTGCTTCAGCAACAAAATAGCTGATACTAAGGGAATAAGTGATAGGAGAATTGATACTAAATTCGTTAAACTGAGTCTACAGATTCTAATCCTGTGGCGTGAGTGGAGAGGACAAATGCTTTTTATACTTTAAGACTTACATTATGAGCTTAGATTTGCTAACATTTCCTTCTAAAACTTCTTACAGTGCTGATCTGAAATTTAGTGAGTTCAGAGTCTCCCCTTAACTACTTTTGCTGAAGGAGCACATTTGCATCTTTCAGCTTCTGATTTTCAGAATTGTATAAACTTGAACTGCATTCTCCTAGCAGGTGGAGAACAAAAGCCCGTTAAAGCATTATGCAGGAAACACAGTACTTTGCTAGAGGTTGCTTCACCCTGTTCTTAATACCATAGTCTACATCAGACTTTGCAAGTCCTGTAGAAATGAATTTATAGAGCAAAACAATTAGTGATGCAGATACACAGTCCTCACTGTACAGATCTGAATCTCTTCTGCTTATGTAGGCCAAGTGCTTCTTAGGACTTAGAGAAAATCTTATGGGTAAGTTTGCCTTTTTAAAGAGGAACCTAGTCCATGTATGTATGAGTAAATTTAAAATGCTACTTATTAGAGCTAGCTATAAAAATCAGAGAATAGTATACACAGCCTTATATCCCTGTAGATGCTGGGAACCCCAAGTTGTGCAGCACCAAATGAGTCTCTGATTCACACATAGCATACTGTGCAGGCCTCATCTGTCAGCAAGGTCACTGCATTTTGATAATTTAAGCTATTGTAGGATTTTTCATGCAAGACAACAACTCTGTGATTCCTTTCCAGCCAGCAGAGGAGGAGGATGGTCACTAACAGCTACAGGCAAGGCCAGGCAGGTGGTGTAATCACTGATACCCCATGGGAGCTGCCTTTGGGCTCCTCTGTTTCAGTGAGCTTGCTGAGTTTATCCTGTACCAGCAGAACTATGTGGCACAGCACAGATCTGAAAGCCAGGCTGTATGTGCCTCACAAGATGGACTCACTCGGGTTAACTGTTACATGGATCAGTAATGCTTTGATGTACACTAGCCTTCTGGTCAGGATTGCCACAACGCATCCATTACGGGAATTGGCCGAAGATTATTCCTTCTCTTCCCTGTCTTATGAACTGTCTTGTGAGCAAGGTTAGGATGCTCACAAGTTTTGCTTGTTTGGGCTTTTTTACTTGTAATCACAGAGTTATAAGGAGCTTGAGTATCTTTTCTGTTTGAAGTGTGGCATCTAGGGAAAAGCCCTGCTGTTCAAAGATTTTGGCACATTGTCTGTATGACAGATACTAATTAGTTTTCTTAGAGTAATTTAATTGTGAGGATTCACATGTAACAACAAATTGGACTCATAAAAACTTACCATTATAGACTGATGCTACTGTTCTGATTTTTTTTGTTTTCCTTGCAGGATCAAGGCCATTGAAAGTCCAAACAAAGATGATGACACACAGTGGCTGACTTACTGGGTCGTGTATGGTGTTTTCAGCATAGTCGAGTTCTTCTCTGATATCTTTCTGTCCTGGTTTCCTTTCTACTACATGCTGAAGGTATGTTAGTTCATGTGACCTCTCTCCTAAAATGACACCTTTGTTTTAATGTCTCCAAGTATGGATAGATGACAGCAGATTTATTTGGAGTCATTCCAGAGTACACCTTATTTTTGGGTGCTGGTTACCTGGAACATAGCACTGTGAAAGTGATCTCTTTACACCTGACTGTTTTATGAGGCAAGAGGGGAAGTTGGGATGGGTGGTGAGGAAAGGTCTGCCATGTTTTAGGAAAAAAGGCTGTCCTATAAAAAAAAAACACCTCAAAGACAGTTCTTTGTCTTAGTGACAAAATGACAGCACATGGTAAACCCCACAGAATGGCTCTGTTTTTCTTAAAGTGCTTTAGTAAAAAGCAGAGAGTAGCGTTATGAAGGCAACTGTTGTGGTTTAACCCCAGCAGCCAAGAACCACACAGCCATTCACACTCCCTCCTCCCCTCTTCCCCTGCCCTACTGGAATGGGGAGTAGCAACAAAAGTAAAATATATAGGTTGGGATAAGAACAGTTTAATAATTGAGAGCAAAATGAGATAAAATACTAATGGCTAATAAAAAGGGAAAGAAAAACTGAAACCCAACAAAACCAGGGATCCACAATACAATTGCTCACCACCCATGGGCCAGTGCCAGCCCCCATTCCTGAACCTGGATTGGCCCTTGGATAATTCTCTCCCAGGTTATATACTGGGCATGATGTTCTATGGTGTGCATCTCTTCCTTGATGATTTGAGGTGTCATGGGCCCACCAAGCCAGAAACAATTCACCCTTATGTTCCCAATCCTAATCCACCTGAGTGACTCTAATCCTAGCACCCTGATCTGCTCACTGATTGTTCTGATGTTCTTCAGTGGGCCAGCATTTGGGTTCATGAACATGATGTACCTTCACAACCAAGTTCTCCACCCAGGTAGCACCATCCTGCCACAATGCAGCAGCCCAGATGGGTTTACTCCTCCACTGCCGGTTATTCTGCTTCCACTGCTGCAACCACCCCCACAGGGCATTTGCCACCACCCATGAATCAGTATAAAGTATTGGCCGTCTTGTGCAGCAGTGTCTAAGGATAACTGGATGGTTTTCACCTCTGCTTTCACCTCATCCACAGCACAGTACCAGCTACTGAGAAGAAATTAACTCCATCCCAGCCAAAACCAGCACATTAGGAAAAGGAGGTATTATCATCTGTGCTATTTGGAGTAAAGAAGGAAACTGCAACACAAGAATAGTTTGTGTCACACAGGCTTAATTTTAATTTAGCAGAGTTTCCTGAAAGGAAACAGCAGGTATCAGAGGAGCTTGTTGCTAATGTGCCTTTGACTACAGGCAATGATTTGCTTAATGTGTTCCAGACTTGGTTTGTGAACCAGGATGTCAATCAACTTTGAACATGTTAAATTGTTCTAGGAGATAGCCAGTTACTATGTATGTTTTTAGGTAGAAGACATTCTAGCTTGCTGGAGGATTTGATGTTTGGCTTAAAAACCTGTTACCTGTTTTCTGTTTCAGTGGGCTGTTCTCTTCCTTTTCTCTTTTAGCCCAGTTAGGTCCCACTGAAGTTCCTGAAAGGATTTGCTTCCTATTGTGGTGGGGTTATTTAAAATTTTAATGCTAAGAACTGATGATGTCAAGAGCTTTTTCCAGGAAATGACAAAATTTGACTTGGACAGCTTGGTTACACCTCTTTTCCTTTTGAATCTTTAACAGCTATCAACTGTGGCAATTGTTTGGATACATATTTCCTTAGCTCCCTAAGAAAAAGCACCTATTTAAACTGCTGCATCAAAGTGATAGTGTTATGACCTGTCCCACAAAGTTAATTCTCTTTCCTCCCTGCTTTATTTTTTCCCTTAACAAAAAAATTATAATAGGTTTTCCATTTTAAGCTTAATGGGTTTGCAATGGTTTTTTTAAGAAGAATCTGCTACTTTTGAAGTTTAACATGCATAACACACGTGGAAGCTTTACTGTTTTAATATATTAAGACCAAGCCAAGTAGTGATCAAGGTAGAGGTTCTTCTAGTCTGAATAGGATCTAAAAGGATTGCTTGTGGCACTGGAAGAATCTGTTCTTAACCGTGTACACACTTATTTCACATTCCTGCCTTCAGCTTGCACTTTAGCAAGAGTATGGCTTTACCCATTATCTCAGTGGTGTATACTTGCAGTTCTGAATTCATACAGTGTATTTTCAGAGCTTCTTTTCTAATTTCTTGATGGTAAAAGATGTGGCAATGATTTCTTCATGCCATCACAGTTCTTTTTCTGAAGAGCATGCAATTTAAATTTAGGTTGACTGAGCAAATAAAGACCACAGATGGCTCTGATAAAACTGTATCAGAAGTGCCACATTTGCATTTAGTGTTGGAATCGAGAGAAAGGTACTTTTCTCAGTTCTGCAAAAGCAAACACAAGGAAGCAGTTATGTACATACACAGCTTTCATCGTTGGCTGTGGGAGGCACATAGAAGTCAAGTATTTGCTCTCAGTAGTGGTTAGTAGGAGAGGTTTAGTTTTGTTACACAAAGGCATCCAGGTATTGGCTGAGAATCAGAAAGCATTGCTGACTGGGTGGAAGGATGGAAGTTACTCCATGTGGGGAAAAGGAAGAAGCAGGCAGTTTCCACCTTTCAGTCCATCCATGAACTAAAACTTTTTGTAGTGTAGTTTATGATGTCTCCATGTCTCACTTATGATGTAGTAGAAGTTATGAAGTAGAAGTTCAAGTGTATCATTCACGAAAATGTCAAGTTTGTTTTCATTTTCAAAATGTGTGATACTTGCATATTTACATTTATTTGATACAGCTTCTAGACTGTGGTTGGTATTTTTCAGTGATAGGGCAAGGAGTAATGGGTACAAATTGAAGGAGAGGCAATTTCAGTTAGATATTAGGAAGAAATTCTTTACTGTGAGGGTGGTGAGACACTGGCACAGGTTGCCCAGGGAGGTTGTGGATGCCTCAAACCTGGCAGTGTTCAGAGCCACGTTGGATAAGGCCTTGAGCAACCTGGTGTAGTGGGAGGTGTCCCTGGCAGTGGATTGGGACTAGGTGATCTTTAAGGTCCATCCCAACCCCTTAACATTCTGCAAGTGTATGATTCTATTTCTAAACACCTTCATGTGCACAGCTGAAACACTGATCACAACTGTTCCCATAGTCTTCTAAGTCCAGAGCCTGGACTCTGTCACCTTAAAGATTTCAGCACACTAGAAGATTTTACAGGTGGGAGGAAAGGCATGTTGAGGAGCTCCTTTGAATGTCTTACATTTGCACCTGTACTTTTTTCTCCAGTTGAAAGCTGTTTTGAGATTTCTTGGATTTTGGGGGGATTTTTTTGGCCCACTTCTTACCTATTTTGCTTTTTCAATCTGAAGCACAGAACATGCATGCAACTTGTGATTTCATGTGTATGTGATTTGGTTTTAAATATTTCTGTTAATGATTTAAAGATTTCTGTGGCATTCAGGTATTCAAGTACTGTAGCCAGTAAAAGTAGTGCAGTTGATTGTCCTTGCAGTATTTTTGGCAGTGGGAAGGAGAGAGACTCCTTACTCCACTAACAGTTCTGTCTTGAAATACCAGAATACTATTTGTGAACAAAATTAGTAGCAGATGTGTCACGCTCATGTGAACCTCTGCTACAAGGTCAAGTGGAGCAGGTGGAGTTGTCATTTTGAGCGTAGCAACCTGCCAAATCTGGTACTTTGACTCTGCTTCAGGACTGAGGTCCTATCCTCTTGACCATACACCCCATGCAATTTATTATGGATTTTGACTAAAGAGCTACTTTACTTCCATTAAGAGAAACACCTTGTTTTAATGACTGCAGTTGTCTTATAGGAATGTGCTAATGTTTGTGGTCATATGAGGCATGTCTTGGGTTTTCATAGTCTTCTTTCTGTAGAATCTTGGACTGGCCGTGGCGATGCTTGCTGTGTTTCTAAGCTGCAGTCACTGCCCCTGCCATGGTGGCAAACCCAGCTGTATTGGGTGTCATGCTGCCAGGGCTAAAACAGCTGCTAGCAGCAGGTCCAAGTGGGTTAGGCTGAGCTCAAGTTGGTTGGGCTGACTGCCTAAAGTCACTTTACTGCATGAATTCCATTCTGCTCTGGTCTGGAGGATTGAAAAGAATGTGGTTCGGGTCTTTTGTCCAGTTAATTGTATCACTCTGAGCTTTCTGGACCTTCTTACAAGACTGTTTTTAATAGCCTATATTAGTTCATTTTCATGAGAGACAAGGCAAAAATAAACTTGGTTAGCAGTCTGGCATTCTCAATCTTTGAAAAGGCTGAAATTTGCAACTTTGATATGTGTCCTCTAGAAGATGTGTATAAACATCTGTTCCAGTACGTTTTTAAATGTAATGAGTATTTGAAGATAAATCTGTAATTTATTTATTGACTAGACTGGGACAAAGCTCTAAAATCAAAAATACTGATCTTGTTCTTGGGCAAGAAAAGGGAAATTTCTATTTCTGTTTCAGAGGAAGCTGGACTCAAATCTGAGGGATTTTCTAAAACAAAGGAGAATTACTCTTGTCTGTGCACTGTGTGTAGCTTGGATACATCTCTCCTCGTTGTCACTTTAGCTTTGGGATACACACAATCCCATTCTTCTACTGCATTTTCAAAGCAGGGTGGCAGAGAGGACAGCGATGTATTTTGGCTGAATTTAAGCAATATAGGGGCCTAGACCTTCAGTCAGGCTGTGTCACATGTTCTGGAAATATTCAGAGAAACTAAGGTTTGTCTAACCAGCTTTTATGCTTTTATACTTAAAACAACAACAAGAAATGTGTAATACATCTGATGTCAGACTAGATTTACTGCTACAGCCCTGCTCCTTTATTCCTATCACTATCCATGAAATTATTTCAGTATGAAGACTCACAGTACGTAACTATACTGGTGTGCATACTTACTGAGCTCTGACCATATGAAATGAAGGGGGTAATGCACTGTTTTGAATATGCTCGGTTCTGTGAGAGTTAGGAAGGCACCCTGTACCTTGTCTCCTACTCATGCAGATGTTCTTATTCTTGTAGTGTGGCTTCCTCTTGTGGTGCATGGCTGCAAGTCCTTCTAATGGAGCAGAGTTTGTTTATCATCGCATTATCCGGCCTTTGTTCCTGAAGCATGGAGCTCAGCTTGACAGTGTTGTTAAAGACCTGAAAGACAAGGCTGCAGAGACTGCAGATACCATCACTAAAGAAGGTGAGCAAAAGGCCATTCACTAGTCACATCAGGTAGGGGGAATTTCCCTGGGGAACTCTGTTGTTACACTTAGTATTCATCATATGAAGGAAAAAAAATTGTAAGACCAAGTAAATTGTAATGGAGGAGTTAAGTTTGGGTGAAGATACCAGGAAATGAGGATTGCTGTGGATCTTGCTTTCTAGGATGGTAGTTATTCTAGAATGAGTGGAAGAAATTGTATAGTTTGTGTGACTTCCCATCATACCACTATAAACATTCTCTCCAGAGGCAGGTCCAAACATCCTCACAAGACACCTTTCATAAATACAGTTATTGTTTCAGTGTGTTCTCAAATACCTGGCAGTATAGAAGGGCTGCCAATTCTGTAGTAAAGAAATTAACTGCAATAAACACCAACATGGGAAATGAAGTTTCTCCATCTGTATATTTTTGCACATTTTCTTCCCCTGGAGGAAAGATTCTGAGCCCACTCTTAAAGAAATCACTTAAGTTTTATTTGGTTAGAATAACTATTATCACAGGCTGTTGATTGCATAATTTTTGCTTATATTTCCTTGTATTCTGTAGAGAACCCACATACTTAAAATGTCTGATGATACTTTATGGATAAGAGAAATGTATTAAGTAGCTAAACTAAAGGTTTATGTAAGTTTCATTTGACAGGAATTTTATTTATATGTTATAGGTCTCCTTTCATCTTACCAACTTCAGCAGTTTTCCTGCCTATTTAAATGATCTGCCTTTCCCAGCTGTGCTTGGAAATTTGCCTGCATGACTCTTGCTGAGTTATTGCTAGACATACATCCTAATTAATGTTCTCCCATATTGCACATGGGATTTTTCGGTACTCATTTCATCCCTTATTGTTTCTTTTTTCTGTTTTTACATACAAAGATTTCCACATCCACACTTCTTATTTATTTTAAGGAATCATAGACTCACATATGCATGTACTCATTAGCACCATTCCAGCTTGATAGTATATTTCTTGATGTAAACCTGTATGTCTTCCACACTGAGCTGTTCTGTTCTAACCATAACTGTAGTTGTAAGTCAGTCTGTGATATTTATTGTGCTGCTCCTTGCTTATGTTTAAATTTTTTAAATCTGTTTGTGTACAAAAACTGTTACATTTTTTGGTGTTGTGTCTTTCGTGACCTAAAAGGAAAATAATTTTTTTTATGCAGCATTGAATCACCCACTTAGTCTGTAGGTCTATGACCAAACTTGCTTTTATTTTCTTGCAGCCAAGAAAGCAACAGTGAACTTACTCGGTGAAGAAAAGAAGAGCACTTAAACTGGATGATGTTTCCATCCTGCCTCCTTTGTGAAGCTTGATGTTACTGGGAACTGTGGTATAATGTTAATAATATTGCCTTGGAAACATTTTGATATATTAAAGGATTGTGCTCTAAGTTTACTTACTACTTTGCTGTGTCTGATAGAGAGTATGCATTTTTATTTAAAAGCAATGCAGTGGGCAGCATCTGAAGCTGAATGAAAACATTTTATTCATCTTCATGCAGAAGAAATCTTTCTGTAATTTATTTCTGCAGTAACATAAAGAAAAGGTATATATCCCCCAGGCTCTGCACTTTTTTGTATCTTTGTCTATGAAATTACTCTTAACACTTTGACTGTGGAGCATCTGGTAGTATGAAGCTATTTTATAAGGAAAATACTAATCTGAATCAATCTTCCTGAATATACAGGGAATTATTGTGAAAGATGGCACAACAGATGTATTCCCCACCAGTAAAGCTGTAAATGACAAAATTTACACCTGATGATTGAGGTCATTCACTGTTGCATGTTTCATTGTAACACAGTATTTGGTACAGTGTGTGTATTCTTGGACAGATACTAAATACAGGAAAGAGTAACTTCATGCAAGTGATCAAGCTTATATCAGCATGAACTAATTTGCCAGAAATCTTGTGCATTGAATTGCACAAGATTAGTGCAAGATGACTGAGGAACACCTCCTTGCCTATTCTTGCTGAATAAAGTTGACATCTAAAATTGTTAATTGAGTGCTGCTTAA